AGCTCAGCACTGACCCATGGATTTAACCAGCTCCTTTGGTGGGCTTTACAGTCTGTAAAGTCTGCAATTTTCTGCTGCTGTGGCTCCCCTAGTCGATTTAAAGCTAGTCATGTTTACCCCCAGGTTGCAATTGCAGCAGTGACTGCAGAATGGACAGCTGCACTTAGCTACACTAAAATCTTCTTGGACCATTATCCATTTCAGGAACCAATTTCGTGACCAAGTCATTTTGTTAGCGTTAATGCCCAGATATATGCTTTATCTGCCTTCAGTTGCTGACCAGACAGGGGCAGAATTTACTGTTCTTCAAAGGTGTTAGATCCCTTAAAGTGCAACCATATAGGAAAAAAAGTTGGTTGTAATAAAATCAAGTTATGGGACCCAAATTTCACTCAAGTTCAACTTTTTATTGTTTTGTCTTAAGAAAGTAGAAAAAAACACACAATATATTGGCCTGGAACCTGGATTCATCTTAGCAATACATTTTTTTCATTAGAGCAAATGATATTTTAAATGCTGCAATACCTACATTCGAAACCCACTCTTCCCAAACACATCACCCAGAGATAATAAACACTCACTTTTGTCAGTCACCCTCCAAGCACTCATGCAAAATGATCATCATGCAGCAAAAGGCAGGGTGCTTTTTAATGAAGTAACGGTCCTGAAACTGTCCCCCTTGATTTCAGTAGGATCAAATGCTAGTATTTCCAAAGAGACAGCACCTATTAAAAGAAACCTGCTGCCTCATTATTACAGTAGTCCAGAAGCTTTAACAGGAAGCTGGCTATTTAGCTTCCAGAAGTCCCTAGTTGCTGTCTAGTGCTTGAATGCCCTGAGTATAAGGACCTTGTGCTGCTACTTAGTGGTCAGTGCCCCAAAGTAAGCAAGTGTGGATGGGGTGGAGGCCTGGTGGGGGGTTACAGAACTGTTAAAGAGCCTATATCAGTGCTTCCCAGCATGACCCCATTTATGACCCCATTTCCTCAGCATAACCCCATTTCCTCAACATGGCCCTAACTCCCAACCTGCTGCCCCCCACCATCCCTAAGTGCCCCTCACTTCCCACCCACAGCCCCCTGGCTTGGCCAGTGCCCCTCACTCCCCACGTACAATCCCCCACTCCACAGCCCTGCTGGTGCTCCTCACTCACAACTCGTGGCCCCCTGCCCCCTCCCTGCTAGAGGGAGCCCCCAGCTACCAGGGCTACTGGACCAGGGCCTGTAGGAAGTGACATCTGCTGTAGCTGGAACAAAGCATGAAACACCACTCCCCTCACCCCCCACCCTGCCCCACTCCCTGTCCCCATGGGTGGCACAGCCAGAGTGGAGCCTGTGGTGCAGGGGAAGGATGTGAGCTGCTCACTGCAGGCTCGGGGCTCCCGGTCGTGCTGCCCTCCCTGCAGTACGAGAGAGCAGGGAGACTTGATGACACTGCTTGGAGCCCCACATTGGCTATGCTGCCATGGCAAGGTGCCCCCTGTGCATCCAGCAACAACAGTGATAGTGGCACAGAGTTGTGCCCCGTGCTGCTGCCAAGTGGGCAGGGGACACCTCACCATGGTAGTGCAGCTGGTGCAAGGCACCCAGAAGTGGCACCAAGCCACCCTGCCCCACTTTGCAATGGAGGCCCCCGGGGGAGGGCAGCAGGGCAGGGAGCCCCGAGCCTGCAGTGGCCAGCCCATGTACTGGCCTATGTACTGCACCATGTCCCACTCTGCCAT